AGCATGGGGGACTCGGCGACATCCCCAACCAGGCTTATTTCTGGAAAGACCCGAGGCCTGTGCTTGACCTGGGGCCCGCCAGGCGGCTGGCGAAAGCCCTTGGGCCTGGCTCCGGTTTGGAGGCCCCGAGCCCGAAAATTCTCAAGTGCCAGATAATTTTCCGGATCTCGCCCTTCCCGATTTAGTGTTAATCCGGTTTAGAGTCTGAGCACGTAGGTCAGGAGGCTCTTGAGTGGGTTCGCCGGGCACTAGTCGTGCTAACCAGCAGAAATCCATGTAGCCCGCGGGAGGGGAGCCTGGGGTAGGGGTGCCGAGGCCTTGGGCTGAAATGGGTGGGACGGTTCGTACAACCGTAAGGCCTCTGGAGTTCCGAGGAACCACAGATGATGAACTCATTGACGGGCGGACAGAGACTCTGTGCTGATTGTCATGTTCTGATTTGGCTCTGTCGGGTTCTGGTGGCCTCTACGTGTTATCAGTCCGGCCTGGGGAACCTGTAGTGCCAGCTGCTTGTCCCAGAAGTCTCTTTGTGGTCAAACTGTTGCTGACTCGACCATAAAGCCACCTGTGTGAAGTGATTGTAATGACCCCCCCCCCCACCTTGTGTGTCTTTGTCCTGTTAAGAGAAGAAAGTACGTTTGCTTGGGTTACAAAATGAGGTTTCGAGGCAAAGATAGAACTCGATTAGGATGTGTGGCCCTCTAAGCAAGTGAACCCAGCCCCGCACGTTAGCATGTTTATTCATGGGGTCGCTGGTGTGGACTCAGCGTTCAACTGAGGCACGCTGGGCGTCGGAAGTGAGCTACTTAGATGAGCCTGAGTGCTAACGTGGGTTGTTTCCTCCTAGTCTCACAGGAAGTTCTCCGCTCCCAGGCATGGGTCCCTGGGTTTCTTGCCTCGGAAACGCAGCAGCCGACACCGTGGGAAGGTGAAGAGCTTCCCCAAGGATGACTCTTCAAAGCCCGTCCACCTCACCGCCTTCTTGGGCTACAAGGCCGGCATGACTCACATCGTGCGGGAGGTCGACAGGCCAGGATCCAGTAAGTACAGGCTGCATCCTCGGAGCTGGTGGGGGGTGGTGGTTAGGAGCCGAGGATGGGGACGGACTGGAGTTGGGGCAGACCCTCTCTTGGTGGGTTCGGTGTTTCGGGCTGTAGATGGCTGGCATTGCTGTAGGTGGAGGGATGTGTTGAAGTCCGGGAACTTTAACGTGAGTAAGTTTTAAAAGATCCGCAGCATAGGAGTATGCCAATTTGGGAGATCGTCCCTGTGAGCCTTAACTCTAAAAGCCTGAATACTGCCCGTGTCCCTGGTTGTGAAGTGCAAAGTAGTAAAATCGCAGTGCCTTAGAGTCCTGATATTTTTTGGGTTAGAAACACAAAACACATGCAGGAAGTTGGCCCCTGGGAGTGCAGGTTGCCGATAAGGACCCCGCTTCTGCAAACTTCCTGGTTACCTCAAGCACGTTGCCTTCTTTAATTGAAGTGGGCACTTGCAGACACAGCGTCATAATCCCTCGGCGACTCTGGCTGTCCCCCTCCGGTCTGACCGCCCTCTCTTCCACAGAGGTGAACAAGAAGGAGGTCGTGGAGGCTGTGACTATTGTGGAGACCCCGCCCATGGTGGTTGTGGGCGTCGTGGGCTACGTGGAAACCCCTCGAGGCCTTCGTACCTTTAAGACCATCTTCGCTGAGCACATCAGTGATGAGTGCAAAAGGCGCTTCTATAAGAACTGGTAAGGGACAGGGACGAGGAGGCTATGCGCTCTGTGGGTCAGGGGCCCTGTGCGGGTTTTCTCTCTAGCAGGGGAGGAACTAGAACTGCTCTGGCGTCCGGTTTAGTTGGTGTCCTGAGCAGAACAGTTCCTGGGGACAGACTTTGAGCAGCACCTCTAGACCTTCCTGTTCAGCTTAGCGGGTGTTGACTGAGAACTCAGTAGTTCTCGTGTTCTTTTGGTTGCTGGGAAGTATGGAGAGTAGGGTTAGAGACTGAGATAGTGCCTAACTCCCCCAGTCCTCCGTCTGGGAGCGTGGTCGGGTTAATGGCTAAGTCGGAGCAAGAATTAGTGAGTATTTGAATGTTTGTGACTTGTATTAATTTTGTGGACCTCTGCTCAGCTCCGCTCGGCTCTGCCCGATGAGCTCCATCCAGGCTCCGCTTGCCGGTGGAAAAGGCTCCTTAGAAGCCGGCAATGAGCCCCATCCCTATGTGGTGCCAGTGTGCCTTCCGCTCACCCCTTGGAGGAGTGATGAAGGCCTGCGCCCCGCCCCCTCCCCAACTCTGCTCTGCTCCTGAAGGCATAAGTCCAAGAAGAAGGCCTTCACCAAGTACTGCAAGAAGTGGCAGGATGATGATGGCAAGAAGCAGCTAGAGAAGGACTTCAGCAGCATGAAGAAGTACTGCCAGGTGATCCGCGTCATCGCCCACACTCAGGTGAGCGCTCGGCAGGACGCACAAGAGGGGGACTGCGCCAGTGCTTCCTGTCTAGGGAGACGGAGTCCTACTTGAACCGAGCCCCCCCTAGTTCTCTTCTGACTTGATTCCTCACCTCAAATGGACTGTGTCGGGATTTTGGAGGGATGGTAAGATTGGTTCCAGTTCCTTAAACTTGTCGATGGATGGGCCAGCGAGCAGCCTGGGGATTGCTTGAAGTGATGCAGCGACACGGTGCGCCACCTGCCCTGGATTCCCAAGGCCAGGCTAAGTCTATTAACCTGAGAAGGCAGCCCGGTTCCTCCAGGCCTAAGGGTTGGCTTTTCTGTCGCCAACAGAGGGCGCTGTGTCTCCAGGCTTTTTATTTGGGAAACCGTGCCCCATTTTAGGAAAAGTGGTGGAAGGAACTAGTGATTCTTTGACATTGTGAAATGCTTAACTGAAAATGGTAGTAGGTCACTGGCTGTTTGCGCTTCAAATCTGACTTGCCGTGACCCTTTGGCTGTAGAATGACTACGTCCTCTGCAGTTTGCTTGAGTTATTATTCTGGGTATACATCTCTGATTGTTAAGTTGTTTAGTTTCAGTGTGGTTAAAATGACCATATTGGCTTAGATTTGTAGTGTGTGTCCGTTACTGAAGAAAGTTCCATAGGACAGCACTGGGCCACTCTTAATGAAACGCTTTAGGTTTGAATTCTTTTTTTCCCTAACTTTGCAGCTTATCTCTTGACTGAGGTGCCATTTCCACTCTCCCACAATGTGAGTGGCTTGTTGACGGTCAGTAGAGCCAAGATAGATTGCCAGGGTAAACGAGGGCAGTACTGGAAGCGACCAGAAAGCATGATCAGGAACATAGGGCCAGTTGGTCCCGGGATCTGGTTAGGTCTGCTTGTGTTGGTGTGGCCCACGCGTATTAAGGATCAGTCCATCCCGATGGTGGACTCCGGCATCAGAATCGAAAAGGGGAACGGTATCCGGTAGGGATTTTAATACAGGGAGGAGCCTTTTCATTTTTGCCAGTAGAGAAGCACGCGGTTCAAGGTTGCCAAACCGTTCTGCCAGCGGAGGAGAGTTGAAGCTCAGGCATCTGAGCCGTATCGATTCCCTCCTAGATGCGCCTGCTCCCTCTACGCCAGAAGAAGGCCCACCTCATGGAGATCCAGGTGAACGGAGGCACGGTGGCCGAGAAGCTGGACTGGGCCCGTGAGAGGCTGGAGCAGCAGGTGCCTGTGAATCAGGTGTTCGGGCAGGACGAGATGATCGACGTCATCGGCGTCACCAAGGGCAAAGGCTACAAAGGTGAGCTTTGCGGCGGCCCGAGTGGTGGTCAGATGCGGTTTCCGGTCCGGGTCTTTGGCGATGAGGCTCTGGAAGGAATGCTGGGCACATCTCATGAGTAAGATGGCAGAAACTTTCCTCCCTGCCTTGTCTCTGGGAGTAGCCCTGTGGTCAAGTGGCAGGGAGGTAGGAGGACTGGGGGTGATCTGGCCATACATCTGAACCCTTACGTTTGGAGCTCACTGCAGAAGGCGGAGGGGACTCGGAAATTGGGTCAGCCTCCGACAGCGTAGAACTCGGTGAATGCTGTGAAGTGTGCGTGTTCCCATTCTAGTGCACGGCCGGTTCTCCCAGGCCTCTTGAGTTGAGAACAGGTTTACGTCTTGGCAGGTGATCCACTGGAGCGAATAAGAGGGGTTAGAGGGTCACGTGTATGTTAAGCCTTCCTGTCCCTCACTCACCTAGTGCATGTGGGTGTTGACTGTCTATACTCAAGTGTCGAGTGAACTCAAATTGGGCACTCAGTGGGAAAGGGTCACTGGCAGGCGTTCTAGACACCCCGGTAACAAGCTTGTGTCTGTTCTAGGGGTCACCAGCCGCTGGCACACGAAGAAGCTACCCCGCAAAACCCACCGAGGGCTGCGCAAGGTGGCCTGTATTGGGGCCTGGCATCCTGCCCGAGTGGCCTTTTCTGTGGCTCGGGCTGGGCAGAAAGGCTACCATCACCGCACTGAGATCAACAAGAAGGTGAGGTGCCAAGGGGGTTCGTGTGGAGACTTTAAACCTGGAAGGGAGAGACGAGCCCAGTGTTGGGAGTGCAGTTTCCACTTCCTGTTAGCACTGCTCCGTTGTGCGGGAGCTTCCGGACTGCACTTGGACCGGAGTTGCTCACCTTGTCTGATGGGGCACGGTTTTGGCTCTTGGACGTCAGTGGTTTACAAAGTGCCATCGAAGGTGGTTCTGGTGCAGCTGACCCTTTGAGTGACCAAAGATGAGAGCCACGTCTGGCCTTTCCTTTGCGGTTTTGGGGGGGCCACTGTCTCCCAACACGTGGCGGTATCTTTAGGCCCAGCCAGCCTTTCTTTCTGCTCCTAGCCTGGGGTGCCCCATCACTAGGACTGAGGTGATAGCTGCTTTCCTGGAGTCTGTCTCTCCTTTTAAGTTTCTACGGTCCATCCCTTATGTAGATCTACAAGATCGGCCAGGGCTACCTCATCAAGGATGGCAAGCTGATCAAGAACAATGCTTCCACTGATTATGATTTGTCTGACAAGAGCATCAACCCTCTGGTGAGTAATGAGAACTGTTTTCTCAAAGCCTCAAGTCCTGGCTCCGGCGGGGATTTTCTTCTCATTCTTTGTGAATCTGCGCCAGACCTCACCTGTGGGGTGGGACCCTGGTGCTCTTGTGTCCTGGCTGACTCACCGAGGCTGTGTTTTCAGTCTGTTAACTGGTCTCCTACAGACTGTATCCAGCCGTCTGTTCTTGTAAATGGCACGTCTTCAATGCCCTGGTTGGGGCTGGCTGGTGAGAAGTGGGATCTCAGACCCAGCTGTTCAGTGATGAGGCTCTGGAATGAGCGCTGGGCACGGCGCCCGAGTCCAACTGCGGAAACGTTCCTTGCTGCCTTCCTTCTGAGAACAGCCCTGTGGTCGGCAGGTGGCAGGGGAGCACCTGAATCTGAAGGAGTCCTGTGTGTTGTCTGATCAGTCTCTAGCCTTACGCTTGCTCTGTCCTGATCTGATGGCTTTGCTCTTTCCAGGGTGGCTTTGTCCACTATGGTGAAGTGACCAATGACTTTGTCATGCTGAAAGGCTGTGTGGTGGGAACCAAGAAGCGAGTGCTCACTCTTCGCAAGGTGAGGCTGGCGGCCCTTCCTGGTGGTCAGGGTGTAGGCAGGGCTCGGGCCTCCGGTGGAGGAGAGTCGATAGTGGACACAGGGCCACACTTCCTTGAGGGGAGTTCAAAGAAATGGGGGACAGGGCTTGGTCTTCCCTTGAATATGAGCTTTGAAGTTCTGGGAGGAGGAATTTCAGTCTGGCCTGGCCCAGCTGTTTGCTTCTGTTTTCATGTGTTTCCTACATCGCTCTGGCCTCCAGGGGGAGATCCTTGGGTAAGACCAGCTAGAGTAGAGGTGGTGTGGGAGGGGGTTCCTCTTGGCTCTGGAGGGGCTGTGATTGAGACTGGCGATCCTCTGCCCTCGCAGATGAGGGGCCTGTGAACTGTAACTGACCTTTCCTTCTTGGCCCACAGTCCTTGCTGGTGCAGACCAAGCGGCGGGCTCTGGAGAAGATTGACCTTAAATTCATCGACACCACCTCCAAGTTTGGCCATGGCCGATTCCAGACCGTGGAGGAGAAGAAAGCATTCATGGTGAGCACCCGGACCCTGCTGCCCTCTGGCTGGGGTTGGGATGGTTCCCCGGGGATGTCTCCTGTCAGCCTGCCCAACTGCACTGGCTCCTGGGGGTCCTGAGCTTGTGACAGTGCAGGATCTCTGATTCCATAGGTGGGGGTATTCGTGCTCAGCTTCTTTCCTCCCCCTCTATCTAACCTTGCCCCCTGCGCCTCTCCACAGGGACCACTTAAGAAAGACCGAATTGCAAAGGAAGAAGGAGCTTAACATCAGGAGCAGATTGTGCAGCTGGTGGGATCTCAATAAAACTAGTTTTCCAGTGACCCCCTGCCTCCGGTTTTGCTTCCCAGTCTGGCCGCTCCACTGTGGCCACAGGAGGGTTCTTGTGCTTTGAGAGTTGTTGCCCTTGGCTCCTTAGCAAAATGTCATGTTTTTTGCCCTACCATCTTATCTGGCCCCATGCCTGGAATAGGTGGGGCTTGATGGGAGCTAGAAGCCCGGGAGCCCGGGTCTGCCCCCGAATTGTTGAAACTGGCCTGGGGCGGCAGGCTTTGTGCAAATGTGTCCTGTCACCCGTTGAGGCTCTGCTGTAGAGGGTGATTGTGTTTGCACAGCTTGGGTGGTAACACCGCACGGGGAGGGAGGCAGGGAGGATTTCGTGTTCCCCGTTGGCTTTGGAGTTCTGATGGGCATGGCAGGGCCAACCCTGGCTTTGAGTATAAGAATAAGTAATTTAGTTAACTAATCCACATGGGATACGTGGGATTGGATTCCAGTTGGGGCTTGTTGAGGTTCTTTTCTAACCAGCCGGGTTTTGATATGGGGGGGGGG